CCCAAAACCCCAAAACCCCAAAACCCCAAAACCCCAAAACCCCAAAACCCCTCTTGGGATGTCTCTTATTGAAAACTTAGAATTTAGTATTTATGAGGAGAATGAGGAGTAATTTCTTCCATGAATTCTCCATAGGTGACTTTCCTGTCTTTGTTCTTATCAAATCTATCCATCAAGAAATCCAGTTGCTTCTCAGTAGCATAGAACCTGTGTTTGGACAAAAGGTGGGAGAAATCCTCCCTAGTGATGAAACTTCCTGTGCTATTTATAGCCTGGAACGCTTCTGCTCTATCAAATAAAGGTCTGAAAGAATTTCTCTGGCGAATAGATTCAACTCTTCTTTCAACATCCATCGTAAGCCTAAGGACTTGAGCAAAGTTACTTCTAGTGATAGGATCCTCTATCTCAGGGAATTTGTAATAACCAGTTGGGTGCTTTCTACTTCTTGAGTCTAAAGATTTTGAGAAGACAGAATCAATAGGGAGGAATAAGTCAATAAACTCTTCAAATGTGAGTAATTCGTCTCTGTTCCTATCAAACCTTGACATTATCAGTTTAGCATCTTCAATGGAGATGAAGATCCCATATTTATCAAACACCTCTTTAATGTCAGGAGTCGAGACTTTGCCAATAAATTCTAAATCGAATATTTTAAATGCATCATTGAGGGTGAAATCCCTTCTATGTGCAAGTGCTTGTTTAGATTTTTCAAGTTGGTCCTCCTGCTTGATCAGCTCTTGAAGGGTAAATACAAATTCTTCCTCCTCTCAGCCCTTCATTGGAGATGTCCTCACCCTGTCCACTGTGGTGTGGCTCTCCACATGACCATGATTGTTGTAGGTTCTGGTTCTAATCACTCTTGATGGTGAAGCCTTCACAGGTTTAAACCTCTCTGAAGAATACCTTGTGGGAGAAAACTCCTTGATCTCTTCTTTCACAGAGAAATGAGGGGTATGCGTTGGGTAATCCCTAGGCTGAGTATCCACATTTCAAGATAATTTCGAATGACTCTTTTGAGCAGAGAAATTTCTTAGAGAGTGGCTGTAGCAATCCGTAGGCGCATCCATTCTGTTTGGTGAAATGTTCCGAGGCATAGCTTTGAGTGTTGGCTTCGATTCACTATAATAAGCTTGTATTGGCTCTCTCACAGAATTATGATGTGTGGACACTCTAGAGCCCTCATAAGCTGGCTTTTGAGTTGAATGATAGCTTGATGCAGCAGGGTAACTTCCTTTGACCAATGGAGTATAACTTCTTTGCTCAATTTTTCTCTTAAAAGGTTTTTGTGGTGTTAATTCTGGCCTTATACCTCGAATTAGTTCAGAAAATTCGATGTAAGATATAACTTGATCTGCATCAGTATCTCATCTTCTAATGATGGCATCGAGCTCAGCCTCAGATAGGAATTTCACATGATCTTCAACAAAATTTCTGATTTCCTTTCTATTGATAAATCCTTGAAGTGGAGTCTTATCAATCAAATCAAAAGCTTGTTTGAGTGAGAAATCATACATGTCTTGGAGATCAACTTTAATTCTTTCAGTGATCTTCTGAAACTCAATTTCTTTAGAGAAAAGTTTAGTAATTCTCTCTTCGATTGCTGGGTAGATCTCCCTCTCTCGGCCTTGCTCTACAGGTATAGTTCTTTCAAGGACCATGGCTCTGAGCCTTTCGTTGGTAGTGGGTAAGACAAACTGTAAGAACTCCTCATAGGAAAGTTTGTGGTTCCCAGTCTCGTCAAACTGAGAGATAATAAGCTCAGCCTCTCTTTGAGTGCAGGCTAATCCATTTCCTTCTAAGTATTCCACTAAATTGGTGCTTTGTATTTCTCCAGAATTGAATTTATCCATTTTCTTGAAGATCTGAAGAGGGATGAAGGTAGCTCTATCTCCAAGCTCGAGTCTCTCATTCTCTACATCAATCTCAGCTTCAGCAATTGCTGAGAACAGCTCAGCAAGCAGTTGTCTAGTTTTTAATCCAAGTGGCATTTGTTTTAACCGAATAAATTTTAATTTAACAAATTTTCAACTTTTGGTGTATGCATTGGGGTTTTGGGGTTTTGGGGTTTTGGGG